TCCTCCTCCTCCTTTCTTCCCCCCTTCCTTCCCTCCCTCCCTCCCATCCCACCTTCCCTCTCTCCCTCTCTCCCTTCCCTCACCCTCCCTTCCCTCCATCCCTCTCCCCCTCTCTCCCACCTTCCCTCCCTCCCTCCCTCCTCCCATCCCATCCTTCCTCCCTCCCTCTCTCCCACCTACCCTCCCTCCCTCCCTTCCCTCTCCCTCTCCTCCCTCCCTTCCCTCACCCCCTCCCTCCCTCCTCCTCCCATCCCACCTTCCCTCCCTCCCTCTCTCCCACCTACCCTCCCACCCTCCCTTCCCTCTCCCTCTCTCCCTCCCTCCCTCCCTCCCTCCCTCCCTCCCTCCCTCCCTCCCTTCCTTCCCTCACCCTCCCTCCCTCCCTCCCTCCCTCCCTTCCCTCACCCTCTCTGCATGACGCGCTATAAACAGTGTAGAGGTAGTGTAAATGACCAGGATTAGCGGTTAGGCCTCATGACAGCGCTAAGCCACAGCCGCACGTTAGGTCGATGTTCCCGTTCTAATTCTGGGTCGAAATGGGTCTTATGGAGAGGAGAGGCGAGGAAGGGTTTGTTTGTTAGTGTGACGTCATTGTGTGTATGGAAACAGTGGCATGCTTTTTTTTTTTTTTTTTTTTTTGTCGTGGGTTTTATTTGTTGTCTTTTTGTTTGCGCTTTGGGGATCTCTCGTGATGGAATTTTTTTTAGTTGTTGTGGAGAAATAGTCAGTTGGATTTTGTTTCAATATGTATGTATTTGTTGTGTTTATGTCTATGAGTCTTCGTCTCCCTTTGTTTGTTTTTATTTAGTTTGTTTCTTTTCATTTTTTTTCCTTTTCCTCCACTTTCACCTCCACCTCCACCTCCACCTCCACCTCCTCCACCACTAACTTCTTCTACCTCTCCATCAACAACAGCTCCCCCCCCACTCCACCACCTCCCCCCCTCCCCCTTCAACCCCCCCTCCAATCTTCAACCTCCAACATTCCCACATTCAACATTCCTATCTGCAACATTCCTCCAACATTCATCCTCCAACATTCATCCTCCATCATTCATCCCCCAACATTTCCATCTGCAACATTCTTCCAACATTCTCATCTCCAACATTCATCCTCCAACATTCCTCATCCCCTCCCCCCCCCCCCCCCTCCGTAACCTTACCTCCGTATTCCTCTTCGAATCAATCTTTTAACTTGTCGATAGCGAGGAAAATCCGTCAGACGCTCAAGTGGATCCAAGTTTACACGATGCTTGTTGTGGTTGGCTAAACGCCCCGACCTAAAATGGCAGGATTTCGAGAATATTGTGAATAGATTGTGTAATTTTGTTTTTAAATAGCGTTCTTTTGACAAATTATTATTAGTTTTTTTTTTTGTTTTCTTGTAGATGGAATGGTTGAATCTAATTGGTAAAAATAACTGATGAGTTAGGTAATTAATAGGTAAATGGTTAAGGTTTTATCTGCTCTCGGGTTAGTTTTGGTGAATTCTATTTAGGTAAACTTGGTGAATTAACTTGTACTTATATTCACGTACACATGTAAGCGCGGTGACCCATTTTTACGATACATGAAGCAACGATAATTGATATTCGTGGAGTTATTTATGTTCGTTCGTAAGTGTTCAGTTATTTCCATGTTATATTTACAATATAAATCTTAAAGCAATTATATATATGTATATATATATATATATATATATATATATATATATATATATATATATATATATATATATATATATATATATATATAATTGCACACACACACACAACACACATACACACACACACACACACATACAGTATATACTTATACGCATTCATTAACATGAATAAATGTATTAATATATATAGAAATAGATAGATTAATTCATATATAAATATAGATACACACACAATATCACACGCATACACATATATATATGTATATCTATCTATCTATCTATCTATCTATATCTATCTATCTATCTCTCTCTCTCTCTCTCTCTCTCTCTCTCTCTCTCTCTCTCTCTCTCTCTCTCTCTCTCTCTCTCTCTCTATATATATATATATATATATATATATATATATATATATATATATATATATATACATATATATATATATTTATATATATATATTTATACACACACACACACACACACACACACACACACACACTCACACACACACACACACACACACACACACACACACACACACACACACACACACACACACACACACATATATATATATATATATATATGTGTGTGTGTGTGTGTGTGTGTGTGTGTGTGTGTGTGTGTGTGTGTGTGTGTGTGTGTGTGTGTGTGTGTGTATATAGATAGATAGATAGATAGATAGATAGATATAGATAGATATATAGATATAGATAGATACACACACACACACACATCTCTCTCTCTATGTATGTCTGTGCATCTGTCTGTCTGTCTGGAAGTTCATGTGTATGTCTTCTTTGTTTATTAATGTCGGTCACTGCTATCGCCATCGTCATCACCAACATCATCATCGTCCTTAAAAAAAAATAACGATCAATAACTTGACTGATGAAAACAAACAAACAAATAAAACAGCTGATCACTTCTTTTTAAGTGCTTGACCCACTGTGCTAAGCGGCAACTTGGACACGAGTGGATAACAGAAAGTGTACACGCTTTATGCATCCCATATTCATAAACACGTACATACATTATCTATACACACGCACACATATATACACTAACACGCCAAAGTGCGCACGTACAAACACGCACGCATATACACACACACACACACACACACACACACACACACACAGACACACACACACACACACACACATATAACTATCTATCTATCTATCTATCTATCCATCTGTCTATCTATCTATCTATCTATCTATCTATCTATCTATCTATCTATATGTATATATATATATATATATATATATATATATATATATATATATATATATATATATATATATATATATAAACTGTAAGCACTAACACACACACACACACACACACACACACACACACACACACACACACACACACACACACACACACACACACACACACACACACACACACACACACACACACACATACGCACACTCAGGCACGTACAGGCTCACCTCTCTTGCGCCTCATCGCCTTGAGAGGTGTGTAAACTCCTTGTCAATGTTCCCACAAGGTTGCATAAGGAAAACTCTGTATGGTACCTGTGTGGTTGAAATGCCTCGGATCTGCTCGCTTTTGTGGGGAACCAAGAGATTGAGGAGGGAAGGGGAGGGAGGGAAGGGGAGGAGGAAAGGGAGGAAGGGAGGGAGGGAGGGAAGGGGAGGAGGGAAGGGGAGGGAAGGGAAGGGAGGAGGGATGGGAGGGAGGGAAGGGGAGGAGGGAAGGGGAGGGAGGGAAGGGAGGAGGGAAGGGAGGGAGGGAAGGGAAGGAGGGAGGGAAGGGAGGGAGGGAAGGGAGGGAGGGAAGGGGAGTAGGGAAGGGAAGGAGGGAAGGGAGGGAGGGAAGGGGAGGAGGGAAAGGGAGGAGGGAAGGGAAGGGAAGGAGGGAAGGGGAGGAGGGAAAGGTAGGAGGGAAGGGTAGGAGGGAGGGAAGAGAAGGGAAGGAAGGGAATGAAAATGAAAAGAGGGAAGGAGGAACAAGAAGAAATAGGCGGAGGGAAACGGAGGTGGATGGAGAAACAGGGAGATAGAAAGGAGGGACAGAAAAGGCAAAGAACAGAATGCAAAGAGGGAAAGAGGAACAAAGGGGAACGGAGGGAGGGAAGGAAGGAGGGAAGGAGGGAGATGGATGAATGGAGAGACAGAAAGTGATGAAGGAAAGGGACGGGAGAAATGCTGCAGAGTTAGGAAGAAAGAAAATAGCAGAAAATTGACGTGGACAGAAAAAAAGGGGGAAAGGGTTGGAGGGAACGGAATAGGGGAAGAATAAAGAAAGAAAGAAACAGGAAAAAAATCAACAGCACGGAAGATGTACATTAATCAACAACAAAACTACTACTACTACTTCTACCATAACTACTACCAATACTACTATTATCATTGCTACCACTACAACTACAAATATTACTACCACTACTACTATTACTACATCTACTATTAGTACTATTACTACACCACTGCTACTACTACTACTACTACTACTATCACCACCACAACTACTATCATTACTACCACTACAATTTCTACTATTACTACCACTACTACTATTAGTACTATTCCAACACTACCACTACTACTACTACTACAACCACCACAACAACTACTATCAATACTACCACAATTTCTACTATTACTACTACTACTACTACTACTACTACTACCAATAATAATAATAACAATAACATCACCACAGTAACAGCCCCAAACTCCGGACCAGCTAAGCAGCAAGGGCGACTCGGGGCGAAATAAACAGGCGAGCACTTTCACCTCGGCGGCGAAACAAGTTAAGAAGTGAGAGCATGTATTATCCAAACTTCAAGGGGCCGGCCGATGCGATCAGGAAGTTTGATATTCCGACGAAGTTACAAGAAATCCATCCCCCCTCTCCTCCCCCCCCCCCCACGACATCGTCTTTGGTTTTAAAGATGAATAAAAAGAAAGAAGAAGAAAAAGAGAGAAAGAGAAAAAGGTGAGTGAGAATGAGTAAGAGATACGAATAAAGAAAGTAAAAAAAAAATGAGTGAGAATGAGTAAAAGATACAAATAAAAAAAAGAAAGAAAAAAGAATGAGAAGGAGTAAAAGATACGAATAGAAAAAAAAATAAAACATCTTTCAGACACGTAGACATATACAAGAATACAGGTCGAGTCGAGGTCGAAATTCCCTGGATACCGTTGGCAACACTGCCATTCCGACGCTGTTTGTTTACCAATAGTAAGTTGTAAACATCTATGGATGAGTGGCGTGGCGGTCGGTGATTGGCTGCCGATTAGGGCTCGGTGAAGCTGATCAATCGCAGAAATGCCAGCCGGCTTTGCGGTGTTTTGGAAATGCTGGATTTGGACATTCTGGAGTATTTGGAAATTCTGGATTCGGAAATGCTGGATTTGGAAATTGTGGATTTGGAAATTCTGGAGTTGGACATTCTGGATTATTTGGAAATTGTGGATTTGGAAATGCTGGATTTGGACATTCTGGATTTGGAAATGCTGGATTTGGACATTCTGGATTTGGAAATGCTGGATTTGGACATTCTGGATTTGGACATTCTGGATTTGGAAATTGTGGATTTGGAAATTCTGGATTCGG